CCCCCCCCCCCCCCAGCCACAACCCACCCCCCATGATAGACATAAAACATCCCCCATAACAGGCTCAAAGCAGCCCCCATCACAGCCACAAATCAACCAAAGAGATGCCCACAACCTTAAACACAAAGCACACACCGCAGTCAACCACAACACAGAGCACACACAGTACCATCACAACCCCCACACACCCACATAATAGTTTCATCAAAACCATTCTCCAAATTAAATAAAAATCAAAAAAACGGGTGAGGAAAGCAAACCGCAAAGAGAATCTACAATTCCATCAAAAAATCTTCACAGATTGCATATTGAAAAAGGCATTCGATCGAAAAACTTACACTGCACAATAGCTGAGGTCAGAATGAGGAGGAGGTTAAAGGCGAGCGAGGAGCACTCCAGTGAGAGAGGAGAGCTAGCCGTTACCTAGAGCAGAACCGGATAGAGCGAGGAACGAAGCGCAAGCAAATAAACCTCTAAGGTAAGAATGCGAGCCGTAGGGTTGATCCCGATGTCGTGTTTATTAATGATACGATCCAGCGTTTTAGGATAAGCAGAAAAAACTAAATAAACAAACGTCTGACATGCGTTTTGAAAACACAAACGCAACATTTAAGTTGTCCCAAAAGCACCCTTAAGCATAAAGAATAACATAATGAATAGCTAAAAGAAGCACTCAGTGTTATATGCATAATCATCTGAACTATAAAATAGTATAGAATCACGTGTAGCATAATAAAAATCAACTTACATTCATAAATTAATTGTTGGTATTCATCTAGAATATGTCAAAATTCCTAAATGCATCAGTGTCAACTAGCAATCATATGCATACCTATAGAAGATCATTTTTCTTAAATTAGCACAAGATTAATTTACTTAATTTAATGGAACAGCCCTACGACAAGTTTCTCTATGCTCACCTCGAGCTCAACGTCTCGTGTAGACAACTTGGAGCTTGTAGACAACATAAAGTTCCATAAAATTCGGCTAAGAGCATGACTTAACCCAAAACAAGCAGTAATTGCCAAAACATAGCTCAAAAGGACTTCGGCATATATTGCCCCTCTGAAACCGGATAATCTTCATCATATCACCTCCAACTTAACTTCTACTTCTCTAAACTCATGATAAAAACTTTTCAGAAGCTTTTAAAATTGTTATACTAAATATAACACACAATTGGCACCTCTGACGGCTACTGCAAATGAGGAAAACACGAAAAACGAGACAAAAGTCAAGATGAAAGTGTGAACAAGGAAATGAATGCATAGAATGATACAACAACAACAAAGCCTTAATCCCACCACGTGAGGTCGGCTACATTAATCCTTTTTCTCCATTGTGTCCTATTTAGTATCATATTTTCATTTAGTTCTAATAAATTAAGATCATTTTTTATACAATAAGCCCAAGTCTTCCTAGATCAACCTCTGCCGTTCTTAACACCAACCCTATCACGGATATAATCATTTATTTTGTCTCTAAGTGTAAAGCCACTCATCCACCTAATCATTCTCATCTCGAGAACACTTAACTTAGTATTATGCTTCTCTTTTAAAGGACAACATTCAGCGCCATAGAGCATTGTAAGTCTCACCACCGTCTTATAAAATTTTATCTTCAGTTTAAGCGGTACTTGTCTAACACACAAAAGGCCCGAAGCATTCCTCCACTTCAACCAACCAACTTGAAGTCTACTATTAACATCCCCATCTACATCATCATTGCTTTGAACAACAGACCCGAGATATCTAAATCGTTCACACCTTTTAATAATTTGATTACCCAAAGTTACATTTTTGTCACTAGAGCTATTACTACTAAAATTATATTCCATGTATTCAGTTTTAGTTATACTCAAATTAAAGGCCCAAATGCATAGAATGATGAAAGAAAAAAAATTCTACTTACAGAATTTACGCTGAAGCCCTAAATCGCAAGCTGCCATACTCAGGTAGTCTCTCGGTTCGCTACTGGCTCATGTCCAGTTGGCAGCCCTTGCACTGTAGCAAGGAGTCACAGGCCCCGCCTGCTTCAGTCGAGCGTGAGCAGAAAAAGGGAGGGGAATCGTGAGAGGATGGAAAAAAATCAGAAGAAGTCGGGTAGGGAGAACATTACAAAGCTCACAAAAACTCTAATTGATCAAGTGAACATAATAAAATAATTATGTCTCTTAAATGTCTCTATCTAATTCTATGACAATATATTATTGTATTTTTTATCTTCCAATTACTCGTCTTAAAATCAAGAACTAATAATCCATGTTGATTACTTGATTTTTTACTTATAATAATTATAAAATCTTTGCATCCTCGACAATCTTTTCTTCTCATGAGAAAATGATTAATTTGTGTTTTAATAAATTCATCATTATCAATAATAATATGATAATATCTTTTCTTAAATAAAGTATTAGCAATAACAAAATCATAAGCTAAAGCAAAATCTAAGATAGTTCTGCTTCTTCACTTAATACTCCAAAATCATAACCACCATGAATATTTCTAAAATATTCTAATTGAATTAAATCTTACCAAAACAATTATAGTTTATAAATGCTCTTTTGATAATTTATTAGATGCAAAAAGATAAATGCCAATTATACTATGAATCTAGAAATGAATTTGCAGCAATATCAATACAATTTCATGAACATGAACCCATTCTTGAACAAAAATCATAATTAAGGAAGTAAAAAACTTGAACGATGGTAAAAAGCTTCATTCCTTCTCATTAATTCAAGAGGTATTTAAACAAAGAACTGCCTGAATTATATTTGGAATCTAGATAATTGTAGAATTGTAGAAAGAGTAATAGTTACAAAAAATTTAAATTCAAATAAGTTCCAAAATCATTCACTCTTTCTTTTTTAATTCAGCTAGCCAATACCCAAACTAAAACCGCAAACTATCCACAATTTTCATCTCGTGTAAAGTTTAGCTAAAACAAAAAAACTTTCCTTGCTTGAGCTCGTGAATTGATTCATGCTTACACCACCATCTAGCTTTTCCTTTCTTTCCTGAATCAGTGGGCTCCATTTTTCCCTTTTTATTGCTATTGAATGGGTGGATACTTTTTTCTAGCATTGAATCTGTGGGTGCTAGTTCTTCCTTTTCTACCTCCACCAATCAGCCTACACTCCTCACCACAATTTCATTCAAAATCAACCTACATTATTTTTCTAATTCTGAATTCGAGGTGATAGATGTGCGTGCTAATAATAGAAACAAATTTTTTTAATTATGATAAGAAAAATCTAAATAAATCAGCAAGCTCTGACAATATTTGATGCATTTTTTTCATATGGCTGAAAAGCTGAGTTACACGTCCACGGGTGCAGATGTTGACCACGTGTTGGTAAACATCAAAGGGAACTTTCACAAGTTTATAAAAGATCAACAAAATGTTTCTTCTCCAGGTTTTCTTAACCACAGAAGAGAACACAAAATATATCGTGAATAGTGAATTATCAATTTTTTTCTTTATCAAACATCGCTAGCAACAATTAGAAGCCTTTTAAATAGTCATCATTCAAAAATTGTAGAAACAGTAGATGAATGTTGTATTCGAACGAGGACATTGATAAACCTGATTAAAAAGAATCAACTTGTGAAAAGAAAACTGATCCTAGTAATCAGTGCTAAGACGACAAAAGCATAAATAAATATAAACAATACCAGGAAAATGCAATGAAAGCATAAATGAAAGAATAACAACGTTTCATACCTTGGTAGAACCCGCATCCAGGCTATTATGTACAAGTTCCTCAACAACTCGGGGCAAGTCAAATAAAAATGTGCTTGAGTGCAAAGAATCATACACATTGCGAGACAAACGCCTTATCTCTTTACTTGACATCTGCTGGGAAAGCGCAACAAATAAGTAATAAACAAAGCCACAGATTTGCATCAACAGTAAAGAATAGAAAATTTTAGTTAAGAAGAATAATCAAGTAAGAATCAAACATTTAAGTATAGCATCATGAAATAAATAAGACAAATTAGGTCTTATTTTCAATTTCTATAGATAACATGCATGAAGTTAAATAATTGGTACATTTTTTTTTTTTTTTGCATGAGACCTAGCAATGTTTGAGGATTCTTAAATCATTTAGACAACCATCAACAAAGTGACGTCTCATTTCATATAACCGAATGAGCTAAAGAGAGGGACAGGAAGTGAGGTGTCGAGAAATGAAACAGTATTTTCACTTATCGACTTACCTGTAGAAAGGTAGGTGCGAAGGAGAGGAGGACGTTGTGGGAATAGGGCCGTTAACGATCCAATTTCAAGCAAAGTTGGCGGCTCAAACTTGGCTCGAAAAAAATTCAATCCAAATTTTGGCTTGTAGCTCGACTCGTTTATTTCGATCCGACTTAATCCAAGCCAAAACTTGAATTAATTTTTAAGCAATTAACGATCTTCAAGCTAAATTCGCAGAATTCACGGTCATAAGATCATTGGGGCATTAACGATCTGATTTTGAGCCCAGTTAGGGTTGGCTCAAAATCGGCTCAAAAAATTTTGATTCCAAAATTTTGGCTCATATCTCAACTCGTTTATCCCAAAAATATGATCCTGATTGAAGCCAGAATTCAATTCAAACTTCAAGCGATTAAAGCTCCTCGAGCTAATTCACAGCCACACGCGGGAGGCATTGTCGAGCATAGGCGTGATGCTAGGGCTTTCACCTAGCCAAGGGCAGCAAAGTCTACGTCTTCGAACACGTAACGTCGGTCGTTTTAATTTTGGTTTTGAAAAATATAGAAAAATATGAAAATAGTTTCGATATGAATATGATTTTTGAAAGTAGCATTTTGATTTAAAAATAGGTGAGACCAAACGAGTCTCACATTTTTTATAGTTTAAATGACTAAGCACGATACCACAAGTAATACACTTATCCCGAAGAATAAACATATCACTTATAGTAGACTCAATCACCTAAACTAAAGAATTTGTGACATCCATTTGGTCTGCGACATATTTTATATGAGGCCAACAAGTTCCCCTACCTAATATAAGGATTAGATAGGGGTTATTTTACTTGGGTTTCAAGTTCC